TGTGTGTGTGTGTGTGTGTGTGTGTGTGTGTGTGTGTGTGTGTGTGTGTGTGTGTGTGTGTGTGTGTGTGTGTGTGTGTGTGTGTGTGTATTTGTGTTTATGCGACTGTAAAAACGCGTATTATAGCCGTATATCCACATTTTGTGCTTTGGGGAAGGTGAAAATTCGTGGCTGAAAAATGCATATATAGTTCATATATGAACCTAGTGAAGGCGCTTTCAATACTTCATAAAATGGCGTGAATTTTATTACGTTTCATAGTTTCAGTGTATTTACACTTTTGTTTCCACCCGTATGGGTCTACCTGTATTGTTCTAGCTGTATGATACTCGGTATAAAAAGTGGAGAGACTTTAAACATTCTATAGTTACGAGGTAAGTTTTCCTCCGTAGCCCTATGATAAAGTGGAAACCTCGCTCAGTGTGAAGTTTGTTGTTGGTAATGCCTAAATTGAGTGCTAAGGTGCTACACTACCTTTCGTGCCTTCAGATCTGAACCAATCCGGCTACCGTAGCGTCCACTGGACGCAAGACCCAACCGGCACAGCCTTAGCCATCACTAGGGTGTACTCAGAAAGGGCCTTTACAATGTTTATAGAGAAACCATGGCAGCAACAACTGCAGCTCTTGCATGAAAATATTATAATCTTGTGCCCAGGCTTTAGTAGTTCAGAGTGGCTATATGCCCGGCAGCCTGCATATATCTGACGGCTGCCGGGCACGGTCTTCGATTTCCTAAATGCCCGGCAGTTTTTAATTTTTAACGTTATCTCAAGTAAACAAGGGTTAGGGTTAGGATTAGGGTTAGGGTCAGGATTAGGGTTAGGGTTAGGATTAGGGTTAGGGTTAGGGTTAGGGTTAGAAACTGTCGAGCATTTAGGAAATCGAAGACCGTGCCCGGCTGCCGGACATATAGCCACAGCGTTAGTAGTTCGTAACATTTCTTACGATCACATATCCTTGTATAGTCTTCTCGTATATCGTGTTCTTCTATCTATATCGTGAAATCAGATATTGATTCGACAGGTTTAGAGGGCAACGTTGAGGTGCCTGAGGTGCCAGAGTTGCTGGTGAATCATGGGACTGCATGCAAACTTTAAAGTGGTGTTGGTGCTCCTCTCCTGTTCTCTCTTGTCCTGTGCATCTTGTTCTGTCCTGGGTCACTTGTCCTGTCCTGGGTCTGGTCTCCCCTCCTCTCCGGAGTCTCCTCTCCTGTCCTGGTCACCTGTCCTGTAACAACATCAAAGCCAATAATCGAACACTCACCCTCTAGACTCTAGAGGCTTTATAATACATAATTTTAATGTACCATATTTACTCGTGTATAAGTCGCACCCAATATTTTGCCTTGAAAAGTTAGTATAAAACAATCATAATCAAAATTAATTAAGTAACCAATGAGCAGTTCAATACTGCACGATATCATAGCAGTCAGTATCATAGTAGCCCGACCAGGCTGTGCGACCGATTGTCTATACCGATTGGTCTTCTAACCCTAGCAAGACCGTTTCTTGGAGCTAAGCATTCAGCAAACTTGATAGTTGATACAGTGATTTTACACTTAATTACATACTCATAGTCGCCGCTACTGGTACACTAGCTGTGGCTCGTCATTACGTTGGGCCTCATCAGTGCAGATGTTTCGCAGGTTCCATCTGTTAGTTTTTTTTCTTCTTTTTCGCCTTCTTTTCTTTCTCCTCCTCCTTCTTCCTCAAGATGATTTTAAAGCCCCGCAAAAGTTGGTATGAACGTTATATCCTATTGTGATTGATCAATGTTAAGTATCAGGTTAAAAGCTAATAGCTATAGCTTAATGTTGCTTGACCGATGGTTTGAGAGGAATCGATTAAAAACACCGGATCAACGACGACAACAGCCTCCTCAACAACAGTGGCGCGTTTAAATACTAAAAAGTTTAACGGCGAACAAACAAAGCAATATTATTGTGTGATATCGTGCAGTGCACATTTTTACAAAGGTTGCATCAAACGACGTTTATTTACACTGATTCACCATTTAAGGCATGCTCTAGGACAATTGCTTACCGGTTCAGTTATGGGCTTCAAGTCAGATGATAAGCTGAGAATACGGAATTGCACTGAAAATAATAATGTATGTTTCTATTATTGCTGTCGATTTGTTTCTCTTCAGTATTTCCTATAGAATTACGTTTGGTGACGGCAGACGTAAATCGTTATTAAGAAAGGTTGATCACTTTAATCACTTCATTACTCCGATCTTTCGTCATCAGCACGTGACCTTAGTGAAACCAATATGTAATCGCGTGTATTTTCTGAAATGCTGGATTTATCGTCCGTGAACATACGCTGGTGTTTGCCATACACGTTGCGTTAGTCATAGCGAGATAAACAGCTAGGCTCTTTTTTACCTTTTTGACCCGGTTTGTAGACAGGCTTGTCTGGTTCGATGAATGTTACAGGTTTAACAAATGGTCGCCTCAGGAATACTTGCTTCTGGTCGGCCACGTGAAAGTACGTCATTTCGTCTGCTCTAAACAGCAGGTAAGCAGTAGTCTCGCTCGTGTCAGGGATGGACAGATCGGCGCACAGACTGGCGCCTGTAAAATATCAGAGATTACTTAATTAGCGTATATCAGATGTATAACTCGTGGGCTGACTTCTGCATTTTGCGCCGTTGGGGTTCTGCAATCAAAGGTTTTATGCTAACATGCGTTGATTTCACTGTTTAGATAGCGTAAACATGCCTTCCTAATTTCTATGTGCACCAGTGAAACATGAACATAAACTGTAAATGTTGTTAGATTTTTCCAATCGATGTACCAACCTAAGTATATGTATTATTTATAATAATAAGATGATGCTAATTAGGCAGTCTTGAATTTCCTTATTTCTAGTTGTTTATATTTACCTCCGCCAGGGGCTTGGCGGGGGTTATGTTTTCACCGGCGTGTGTTTGAGTGTTGGTTTGTGTGTTTGTGGGTTTGTAACCAAGTCGTTCATTCTATGTTAGAAATAGGAGAAATAAGCTCATTAGTGATAAATTACGTAACCAAAACCTTGCAACAGAAGAACGTAGTACGCGTGCCGATATTACACTGGGTTTACTAAATCAGTTTACACTTATTCCACCCTAGTTCAGTTGCCTTGCTTGCAGAGTGAACACATGGCAATTTCATGAAACAGTGCGCAATACCAACTGCTCTACTATACAAACACATATTTTCTATGTTTTAGGTACACTGGTGAGGAGGAATCATCAAACATGGCGATAATCAGTGTAAATATGGTGACTGGATTCTCTCCAGTGAAGGAATCATTAAATAAGGTAACAAACTATTCATTAAATATAGTATTTGCTGCGTAACGGAACGACAGTTAAATTTAACTAGCTGTGAAAAAAATTGTTTGTGTACCTATTGTCAAGAGTTCATTTCTTTCACTTGTTGTAACAATAGTTTTACTAGCCACCCAGGCGTGCAAGCACGCAGGCATCTTTACACTAATAAGCCATGGTATTATTGTTGAAAATTTCCAATTTGGTTTTGTTTAGATTTTTGAGAAGCCCAGTAAGAATTCACAATTGAAGCGTTTTGATATTGAAGGCAAGACTGTAGATATCTATGTAAACGAGGTAAGAATCTTCCGTCATCTGGTACAAAATATATCGTGAGATCGTTCAGGTTTTATTTTACAATTGATATATCTCTTCTTTTGAAGGTAACCTGATTTGACACAATACAACAGTAATGTAGTAATGTAATTTAGTAGTGTAGTCTGTCAAATAAGGTATGTACGTAAGACCAGTATTTTTGCATCCCCATGAAGAAATTCTTACAGACCAATAACCGTATTTCAGTTCGAACCAGGTGAGCAGGTTTGCGTGACCTTTGACCTGGAGAAATATCTAGACGTCGAAAATGTGAAGCCGGCTGTTGTGAAGGTGTACGACTACTATGAGCCAGGTAAATACAACAGGTGGCGCCACATAGTCACTACCTACTATGCTTTCACATACTGCATGGTCTGTTAGAGGTTTAACATTTAATTTAACAGTGTCAGTCAGAGAACCTGACCACGTTTATTTATCATTACAGAACAGACAGCTTCTACTCTGTACAGCATTGAAGAATGCAAGTAAGCAACTGAGCGAGCAACCAACCAGCAGGAATATGGCTATCGACTTGCCTGAATATTAACAATTATTTGGGAAAAGCTTTGACGTAGTAGACATCGTACCACTTCGACCATCGGACTGCTTTTTGGCTAATATCCTTATCAGCTGTATTCACAGAGATTCACAAAACGCATGCGTCATCTTAATATTATTATTCATCGTTTTCACATTACCAAATTAATGTTTTAAGAAATAATTATAAATAAAAAATTATCTAAATGTGTACTGCCCTTATGCATGCAGTATAATATGTATTTTTACGGACACGTACTCGTGTAATTATTTGTATACAAATATTTTTATTAAAAAGCTTGATGGCTAGTCATTCTTGTAATACTGTATTTTATCATGAATACGTAAGACGGTAAATGTGTTGGTGTTCTGACTCGAAATGACTGACAATTTCGTATGAATGTATAATACATGCATATATCCAGGGGCGTAGATAGCGGGAAGGATAGGGGGGGATGCATCCCCCCACTTATTGACGTGGGGGGGATGGCGTGTACAATCATCCCCCCTATACTTTCAGGAAGAAAATGGGGGATTCAAAATTTTCTGGTGGATGACCCGCATACCCCCGCCTGTTTCTTACCACCCTCCTCGAAAACCTGCATTGGCCACTGTCGAGCGTAACAAATTGAGCACCCCCACTTCAAAAATTGTTCCGCGGCGCCTGTAGAGTACTGCTAACAAAGATTATGATTATGAATATTTGTATGCATGTCAAATTTATGTTTATCTGACAGGGGCGTAGATAGCGGGGGGATGGGGGTATATTCCCCCACACTTATTGAGGTTGGGTGGCTTTTCATCCCCCCTACTTTCAGGAAGAAAATGGGGAAAAATTTAATATTTTACAGACAATAAATACTGGATATTTATCTACAAATCCGTCATCGCTATTCATATACTCTCCTAATGTATTATTACAGAAATGGAACGTGACATACTGATACATCTACTGTAAAATAGCTGTAACTCGGTCCAAAAATGACATTATTTTACTGAAACTCAGACGGTTAATTTTGGACGGGTTCAACATATACGATTTTTTTTCAAAATCCTCAGTCTTATCATTGCTCACGAAACTTAAATCCTTGCTTTATTCAAAATTATAATAGACCTATTGAGAGTTGGGATGTTGAATCTTCACGGGGATTGAATGGGAAAATTCTATTTTATCTCACTTTTTTTGGGGGGATGGGGGTGCTGAGACCCGACCAGAAGTATATTCCTGATTTTGTATAAGGGGTGAAAAAATTCACTTTTTTGTTTAAATCTGGTTGTTTTTCTCATATTTTTTGGCAGTTTTAACGTTCTCAGTAAAATATAAGTTTTATCAAAATTTCAGGGGAGATGATTCTAGTGCTGTAGTTGTCAACGGGGGGTCGGTAGCACGGGGCGGTCGCCCCCCCCCTAGAATTTTCAGGGCAAGGTATTTTGCCTAGGTAAGTCTGCCATGGTAACCAGTGAGGACTATGTACATAGCCACCAGATTTGGTAGTAAGTATTTTAGTCTGTGGTGTCCCCACGGTAAAATTACTCAACTCACAGTTGTTTGTTATATGCTGATGGAAGAGTTGTTTAATTTAAGTGCTGCTCTCATTAGTGCAGGAAAATTGCACATCAAGAGTTGTTACTTTCCAACAAAAATCCCCGACCCCCCCCCCCCTTGAAACAGGAGGGGGGACACGCCCTGCAGGAGGAAAATCCTGATATTCATCATGATAGAGCATGTCCAAAATTGCATGCTTTTAGATTGCCGAACTTTTCAACAATCTCACCCTGCGGAGGGCTGGACACCTCCCTCAAACCCCCCCCCCACTCTCCCCCGGACGCTTCGCTGCCCTTGAGCCGCTCGATGATTCGCCCCCCCTAGAATTTTTCTGTCTGGATCCGCCACTGAGTTGTGTAGTGTGTGTTGGGGGGGGCGGCTTGCGTGCTATTTTAAACCTCTGGCGATACAAAAGGAAAAAAATTACCTAGAATTCAACAAAATTGACTAAAAAAAAAACAAAAAATATTGCAATATCAGTTTTTTTTTCAATTCCCTCAGAACGGCTACTCTTGAAGCGTTCTAATTCGCTAAATCCAAGAGCTTCCGGGGCTTCGCCCCCTGGACCCGGGGCAAAGCTCTGCCCCTGCACCCTGAACAGGCGGCCTAGGGGGGGGGGGCTGGCCCGCTGGACCCCACCCATTAAGGGCTTTGCGCCAAAGCGCGCTCGCGTGTGCCCGTACGTCGCGCACACTATTTCATTATACATTGTCATGAAAGTAACGAGCAAATCATCCCCGCCCACAACTGAGGACCTGTCTTACGCCACTGCATATCACTCATTATATGCAACGTTTACTCTCCTATTCTGACACGACTGATTTTATGATAAAACAACGATTCACGATGTTGTAGAGAAATAAGAACGATTACGATCCACTCCAGATTTAAGGTAATGGCCAGAGTATCATTCGTAAATGACTAGAAGCTTTGTTCGGTGTTTTTAAAAGCCCTTTCCTTTACCAGAACGTCAACCAAATACGAAAACACATAGAAAAGTAGATACGCCTTGGGCTGAAACGAGAGTAAAGTTATCTATTTAAGTTTCGTGAACATTACAGTTATGTAATAATTTGAAATGACTGTGCACCGCAGTATTTCGAGTTACAATTTACTTGCTATGTTATATAATGCCACACAAGCTGCTGGCAGGATGGTTACGATGAATGATCACTCTGCCGTAACATTAAGCTGAAGATTCATCTAGACAATGACCAGTTCCAAGTGCTGTTCGTTGTCATATTTTGTATTATGCTACAAAATGCGCATTAAACATTCATCCATCATAGAAACTCCAATGCAAAGAAGAAACGTCTTCATACCTGATCTTATTTGACATGTGTGGCTTTGAACTGTAACGTTTTTCCATTCCTTTGCCAACTTCTCGCCCTCCTTATTTCCGTGATCGATATGCTAAGTTTCGGGCGTGGCCGAAGTTCTTCCTCGGGAAGTTTACGTCTCCCAACCCAGATTCTGACCAGGCACTCGCGGACGGAACGAAACAGCAAGCAGAGACGTTACAGAACAACGTTTTAATTAATACATACTTACTTCATCAGGAGAGTTGCGGCGCCAGTAGTTACAGCAGCGATCACTCTCGACTACCAGGACTAAGCTGCCGGTTGCTGGGACAACACGTCGGCTACTCTCCACTCTACGATTGCGCAGCTTCGCGCGTGGGGAGATTCACCTCCGATCTCACTTGGCGCGCGCGAACGATTGCGTCTCCTTGTTTACACCACAATAATTAATCATCGTCCTACGCCCATCCGCCTATAGGAGCACACAAACAAACACCGTGCTTGATGCACGTCCGCCGTATCCATGCTGCGCCTGTGCAAGCAGCAGGCCGAGCACGCATCGCTCCCATGAACAATGTCCATGCGCGCACACAGTTTCCGCTTCGCTCGCGCCCTCTAATACATCAGATTCCGCATGAACACAGATGAACGATGAACTGTAACGTTGACGATACTACAAGGAGATGACGGGCAACACACGGGACAGGATACGAAACTTTAGCCACACTACCCCCTTCCTCAAACTTGTGCTACCTCCTGCGGAGCCACTTCTAATCTCCGTGATTCTATGCGGCTGCGCAAAGTCAGGTCATACCGCGCCGCCACCCCCTCATCTCCCCGTCTGCCTAGTATTATACCCAAAAAACAAAATCCCGCCGATACAATATCTTTCCCCAACAAAACGGTAAACACCATAAAGCACACGATAATACGCGCGAAACAGTCACCGATGTCGCGCACCCGCTGTCTTTTCATAACGGTACTCTACGACCCCGGTACCTCGACCACGCGGATCCAACCACAAAAGCAACTTGCAACAAGGGGATTCTCTGGCGGGCATAGATGCCGCGGCCCGGACTCAGGCCCTATCAGCGTGGCTACAGTGGGCGTTATTTGCGCCTAGGCTGGCCTCATGGAGAAGCCTCCTGCTGGAGGCTGTCGCCGCCACTCTTCATTAGAAATGCCTCGTCAACTCGGAGGCCAGTGTTGCAGTGTGAGCAGCCTATCCGCTTCGGCGGAGGTCGCGCAAATACCTCCTTCGTTGTGTGTGTATTGAGGGCAGGTATTCTCTGATGGTAGTGTGATGTGTGTGCGCTTGCCTCGGGCAGGGCATCTCGCCGTCCCGAAAATTGGTGTGTGGCTAGTAGTTCGCGATGCGACCGCTGGTGGCGGCGGAGACCTTTGATGTCTCGCTTTGTTGTGTCGCGCACGGCCTGTTAGACGTGTGTTTGTGTTCCGGCCGTGGTATCGTGTGTGTGTGCTGGCAAATTTCGATCGAATGCTAGTCGGCTTCTGTCTGCAGCTGTCTTTCCGTCAAGCCAGTCTCGCGTGTGTCCTCCTGTCAAGCTGGTATGCGCTGACTGCTGCTTGCCGTATACTCTCCGTGCTCTCCTTCTCCAGGCCATGCGCTCTGTCCTGGGGATTTACACATCTCCGGACCAGGTCCCGTCATTGAGCTTGGTGGTCGCGGGCAGTTGAGCCCCCGCCTTGTTCTTCCACTGTTTGCTGCGGGAGCGCGACACTGCTACCCGCGGTGAGGCCGCCGAACTTGCTACCGCGGGATGGCCGCCGGTAATCTGCTACCGCGGGAGAGCGCGAACTTGCGGCTGGCTGCCCTTTCTCGTTCACCTTCTTTCGGTGCTGTGGGGATCCTCCCCGCAACCCGGGATATTAGCTGGAAAGCGCGGTGCCGGCCCTGAAGTCGAGCAGGCCAGGTTTTCCTGGCAGCTCGCCGCATTGGTTTACGTTACATTGTGGCCAGCGTTCCCTCGGAGAGGCGGGGTCGGTTCTTGGTTTTCGAGGCCGCTCGAACCCCTCGGCCTGGGCGTCCAATCGCTGAAATTCCGTCGTTCTCCCGACGCTGATTCCGTCGCCACGCGGAAGGCTGGCGTCCTCTGGCGCGTGCGCGCTGTCCCACCGGGACCGGTAAACCCCGGTGGATTGACGCTGCTCGGCCGAGCGAATATCATGCCATCGCCTCGACGTAGGCCGTGATCCCGGCCTCTCGCTTTCACCCACGCGTTCGCATCCAGTTTTTCCGCCTCGTCGATAGGATCACGGTCAGCGTGGCTGTTTCAGTTGCCCCGCGCGCTGACACGGCGGTAGCCTCGAGCGCGCCTCCTCCGCTCGGGCAACAGATAATTCACTCCCGTCTCCTCGATGAGAGTTCCTGGTCGGTGGTGCCACGGGTGTCCGTAGCGACTTCACAGGGCACGCATAGCCCACCAGTTAAGCCTCCACTGCCGC